ATGATAGCATATCATTGTAGACCCAATCCTTACTTGCAGCGGAACCTGTGGGTAGATTTCTTTATTTTTCTTCGTATGTCTTTTAGGTTTTTCTAAACAGCACTAAGTTCGTTCACTGAAAGCTTCACTATTCGTCACTGGATGCAGAACTGCATATGGGATCTCATATAGAATTCTAATGAGTTTTCCATAACCTACACGAACAATCGTGCTCCTGTGACTCCATTCCACTCTTCACTCTCGCCCAGCCGTTTTTCTTTCTTCCGGGTAAGCTGTACTCATCTGAAGTACAGTCCCAAATGCTCGGTTCTAATTCGATAAGTCGAATTAGTTGCGTACGGAACGGGTCACACATCGAGCACTGAACACAATAATGGAAAATTGCCAATCTATCTGAATTCAATGAGATTTTCGATTAATCACAACTTTTAGTTTGTAACAGCAAGTGAGCTTATCTGTTTGTGTTTCAGGCCTCAGAGATGCTCAGCACTCCTCCCTTTTATTACTGTCGAAGTTTTGAAACAGAAGAGTTCTTGAGTTTTTCGGATTCTCCCACCTTTTGAATTTATTTTTGATATTTTATTTGATATTTTGAGTCTTTCGGTACCAAAAATAATAATAAACTTTCGATGCATTGGTGTCAACGGCCCTTGACTATTGATTTGGAGTACTGAAATATACTTATAGTTGTTACAGTCACAGTACAGTTACAATACAGTCACAATGGATGTTACAGCACAAAAATCTTACTTATGTTTCAGAAGAATCGAAGAAATATTGTGGAACCGAAATTGTTCTTGTTAAATCCGGCTCTCCGTTCCATCCGTTCCTCCCTCTAAGGCTCAGCTTAGAGGGAGGAAACTCAGGTAGAAAGTCGAGCAACATAACTCACCCTTCCTGATACTTGAGTTGGATGGAGAAATTGAAAAATCAATACCTACACGTTTAAATAGCTGCAAGTCATCAACACCCACGTACGTGGCTACCGATCAGAAGGAGTCTGTTGGATTTCACAGGAAATTCAATTGTGACCTAATCTAGAAAAGAACTCAAGAAAAGAAAGTAAAAAGCAAAAGAAAAGTAGGCAGGAAAAGAAAACAGGCATAATAGGAGTATTGATTTTCTATTTGTGGTCGCTTACTATCCTACTATCCTAATCTCGTACTCTACTAATATCCTACTATCCTAATATCCTGATCAATATGTATCTAATCTGTTCAGCGGAATCTACTACTATCCTACTATCGTAATATCGTAATATCCTACTCTCCGGCGATTTCAGTCGATACGTATCTAATCTTGTCAGCGCAATCTACTACTATCCTACTCTCCTACTCTCCTATCGCTAGTCGCTCAGTATCCTACTATCCTACTCTCTACTCTCCGATCGCTAGTCGCTCAGTATCCTACTATCCTACTCTGC